ATAGTTATATAGTTATATAGTTATATAGTTATATAGTTATATAGTTATATAGTTATATAGTTATATAGTTATATATTTGTGCTGATAAATAAATAAAGGGAGACTAGTATAGATCTATTTCAAGCTATTTAGCTCTCATCAGCTAGCCATACCCTTACTGGGAATTATATATATATATATAATTCCCAGTAAGGGTATGGCTAGCTGATGAGAGCTAGCCATACCCTTACTGGGTATATGTACATATACATATACATACATATATACATATAAATTACTGCTTTTTATATATACATAATGCACTAAAAACAAGATTAATTTGTTAAACTAGACATAGGAACTATTGAAATCAGTAAATCTGAGAGCATCTCTTTCAGTTCACTATACATATTAGATTGTTTCTTATAATTTTACAATTTTGAAACAGTTCTAGTGCTTCATTTAAAAAACACACATTATTTATGATCAGATGTATTTTTCAAATCAAATTTATAGATAATATTCAATATTACCAATAACACTAAGAATTTCAGATAGAAAACTTACATTCATTTATCTCTGAGTAAATTTTTTTGATTCAATTGGCTCTTCTTCTGTGTAGATATGTTTAAAATTTCATTACACAATTTTAGTTTTCCTAAGTTTATAGTATCTATCACCACTATTATGTTGATATAAATTTACATTATTTTCTTTTTAAAAGTCTTCCATAGTTAGGTCTTCTTTTTCAATTTCTATTATTATTCTAACATTAATTTGTTCAGAACAAGCTTTTACTCTTTATAGAGATTAATGTAATTTACCTGTTCATTAACTTTCTTCTCTTTGTCTAGGTCTTTTTCCATGTCTGCTAATTCTCTGTCTTTTTGTGACAACTGTTTTTCCAATTGGCGAATTTCATCACGCAGAAATCGAGTATCACGGCTTCCAGTGGATCGCTGTGCTATCTTAACAAATATTAAAATAAAACTAGTTATATATATATAATTATATTAGGGTAAATTAAAAGTGCATATTCTAAACAATATAAAACTCATGGAAAGGTTTTGAAATATAGTAAATATGCAACTAAACAATGTAAAATCAGATTTAGCTATTTACTCTAGGGGACCATCTGTCTTGGATTAAATGTCTTGGAATCTAAATTAAATTTAGACTCTACAATGAAAAATAACTACTAAATTAACAAATATTGAATTAATTCATTATTTCCACCAGTATAGCAGCACAAATCAAATTCCCAACTTTTAAAATAGGGTTATACTTTTATGAGTCAACATATTATCTGCAATTATACTTTTTATTATATTTAAAAATGCTCCAAAATCTGATTTCTCAATTAATAATTAATGCAAGGAAGTTTTCTAAAACATGTAGTAGGATCCTACTTTTTTATATTGTCCATATTTAAAATATTAGGCAAATTGAACAATTGCAGGATTTAAAATTACCAATCGTAAAATGTGAAAACCAAGCCTCACAACATGCTGAAGCTTAGAAGATTCAGTGCGATACAAATTAGACAGATTATTAAGATTCATAAAGCTATTTAAATATTGTATCTCAAAAATAATAATGTTCAATATTTACTTTAGGTGAAATTTAAACATACCTCTAATTCTTTTTCTAGTTTCATCACCTTAGTTTTTAATTGATTTTCTGTTTTCATAAAAAAAGGACAAAGTTATCAAATTATAATGACCAAAACACTGAAATGAGACCTAGAATAAAACTGATCACATTCTTTACTAGTATCAAAAACAGCTCCTTCTTTGAAAAAAAATTAATTGTAAATTATATCTGTTTATAGTATAAATTATATTATATAGAGGAATACCATGTTTCATAATTGAACCTTGCATTTCCCATTTTTAATACTTACCTATTCTTTCAGAGAATTAAAAATGAGTGAACTCAATTGATCATTAACATCTTTCAATTTATTTTAAAGAAACTTTTTTCTTCATTTTAAGTTGAAATTGTGTGACGCTTTGGACCCAGTTTTAGAAGTTGGACTCATTAGTCATCATCGTATGTATGTTTTCAATATTTCCATATTTAACTTAGAATAACAGAATAAATGAAACATATTTCTACTAAAACTAACTATAATGAAGAATCTCACTATTCCAACTGAGTAAAAGGTAACAGTTCAAAACCAGCAGCAAAGTAAAAGCAAAACAATGAAGCCTATAATATTGAATTCTGAACTCTAAATAGGGTTTTTCTCTATGGAACTGAAAATTCAATTTTACTGATACTTCTGTATTTTCCCCCAAAAGTGTCCAGACGTTTACAAGTTATGTATCTACAGAAATGTTACCAAATTTAGCTTGCTCTTCTCCAGCTTTCTCAACTTCTTCCAGAGCCAGTTCTACTTCTTGGTTTTTCATCTATTAGAAAAAATGCAAATTTTGTAACTGCTGCCAACAAAATAAAACCATAAGGATTAAAACATGTTTAAAATAAGATACAGTTTATTATAGATAAATCCCTAATATTAAGTTATTTACAATATAAGTTATAAACATGCCAAAAATCCAAGAATAAGCTTTATGTAATTATACTCTTCCTTCCATAACAAGGGTATACAAGTAAAAAAACCAAAACCTTCAGAGCTGTTTTTATTAATCCAAAACAACTACAACTCTATGTTTATTATGGAAAAGTGTGTCCCATTTTCATCCAAGTACTACATTTACCATTGAAAATGACTGTACATGAATGGGCAAAAAGCAAAACAAAATTCTCATCTCCTCCCTTCTCAGGAAATCTTAGGTCACTTATCTTCTTCACTACTTCTAGCCTCATAAATGTTTTTATATTAGAGTATTTAAATATTTAACAAACCATGCTCATTTTTATTAATATCTGTGGATTAACTTTTTAAAGTGCTGCAAAACTATTGATATACATCTGTAAATATTTTAGGGGTTCCAGGAATATTCTAAACACAAACATAACCTGTTCCAATCTTTCTTATGGGATTACAATGCAAGGGAAGAAGAGCCTATTCAATTAGCCTGTCTAGGCAACAGATGGATTCCTTAAGCTTTCAGAGGGAACCATGAGTTATTCCCAAAGTTCTGGTACATAATTCAACTGAGCCCTTAGTCACAGCTTGGAATGAATGTATTTTGAAGGACTCAGACTGGATCATGCCAATGTGGACTATTGTGGAATCCCACAATCTCCACACCCCAATTTATAGAGAAGCTCTAAGAGCCCACCAGTGGTCTTGTTTCAGATAACCAGTATTTTCAGGGTTAATAAGAGTCTGGAGTGCCCCTGAATGGCCACTGAGGGCTATTCAAAGAATCTGTTGGATAACGTTATTTGGATTTGTTCTAAGTTGGACTCCGGGTAGGCAGGTCCTATGGAAGAAAGTGAGGCAAATCTTGCTTCATTATGTGGGATGACTTTCAGGTCCTGAAGAAATGCACAAGGTCCTTGCAGTTGTAAGCTATGAATCATGCTCCTCCTGGCTAGTTAAGGTTTTCGGGAGATGGTGTATAGTTGGATATAAACAGAGGTTAACACCTGTTTATAAGAGGGGATGGAGTTTGCCTGTCTTAAAGCAATAGGTTAACCATTTCTCAAAAAGTCATCCTTGGATCTGACAGGGTTGACCAAATTTCATTCAGTCTCCAACTTTAAAATTATTAGGGAAAGTTGTGGAAAGGCTAGGCACTCAGCTTCAAAGGATTCTTGAAGAAAAGCAGGTCATCAGGACCCTTTTCAGTCTGGATGTAGACGAGATTATAATACAGACATAGTGTTGACCTCCACTTGTAAGCTTCAATTACTCCAAGATACAGTGGTACATATAGTTCTGGGCACTCTGAGGACTGTCGGTGTTAGATTACTGGGAAATGAGTTTATATTGATGGCCAGTCTCTTTCTGGGTGCAATTCAAAGCACTAGTTATCATATTTAAAGCCCTGAATGGCACAGAGCCAAATTATCTATAGGACTACTTCTCCCTGTGGATATGTCCATACCACCAGATCAGATAAGGTGGGTGCATTCCATTCCTCTTTACTAAACAATATCATCTGGTGTGCCTTCTCTACAACAACCATCTATCTTATAGAACAGCCTTTCCCCTGAGGTTTGGAAGGCCCCTACACTATTAACTTTCTGGAGGGCCGTGAAGACCTAGCTCTTCCCTCAAAAGCTGGATCAGGATAGGAGTTGAGCCCAGAATATGTGTACTTTAGTACAGGATTACTGTGATATCTTGGTGGCATGTGATGTATTTTGGGGGGAGGTTAGCATTTTCCCTCTATTCATAGTGGTTTGATGATTGCTATACACTTAGGACTATATTGTATATAAATAATTAAAGTATAATAAATGTTTATAAAGATGCTTTTTACAAATCTTAACCATATATCAGTACTGACCTTCATTAGTGATTGAGAAATTTTAAAAAGTTGAATTAAATGTGAAGAAGTCTCATCTTTCAAAGCATTACCATCAACCTAAAATATATAAAATATAAATATTTGAAAAATATGCGTTAAAATACCTTTAATTACAGACATATTGAAAACATCATGCAAAATACCTTGGCCACAGTCTCAAGCAAACTATCTGCTAGGTCCTCCTGACGAGGCAAAGCATCAGGATCTACTCTCATAATTTTCTTCCACTCCAAAATAGGTGCCATCCTGAATATTCATTTACTTCTGGAAAAAAAAGTAGTCACATTGAAAAGGTTACATTTACCAGAAATACCAGTGTTCCTCTTGAAATATTTAGTATAGCATTTGTAGTATTTTTATTTAGTAAACTATTATATCTAAGAACAGTGGATGACTTACTTTCCCCATTAACAGAAATTATGCGAGGCAAGTTTAGACTGAGTGGTTATTGGTCCACAGGCATTCACTAAGCTTGTATTAATCAAGGGTGGAATAGAACCGCACCTCGCCCTTCCTAATCCAAACCCTTAACTACCACACTGGATCTCAAATGAAATGTTACTAGATACAAGGAGTCAAACAAATGTTTTAAGACTAAAAGCCTTTTTTTATTTATGCCCCCAAAACATCTCTCTTTATTTCCATGTAGGTTTCTCAATGTACTCACTTAGGAATTCCATAAGATGATATGGGAGCTACTGTAAAAATCAATAAGAAAACCTGTAAAATAGCTTTTACATTTGAAACTAATCCAATTTCAGGTTTTGTATGCATACTACTCCTTAAATTTGATATTATGTTAAGGGGTTCCTTTACCATTTCCTTTTTTAATTCTGTTTTTAATGTTTATATTAATAAAATATTTGATTACCATAAGTTTGGAGCAGATTGTAAAGGAATGCAAGTGATAACTACAATGTCTGAAAAACCATTTCAGAACAAATATCCTTAATATTTTGGAATTCATTGCACAATTTCATTGCACAAATTGGTTCTATGTCTGTACCTATGAAAACAGATAATTAGGATTGCCAATCTTGTTTCTATGTAAACTAATATTATTAAAATCAATTTAATTTCTAAGAAACTGTGCATAAAATTATAACTATATAATTATTTACACAGAGTTTTGTACACGCTTAAACCTGTTAACCTTGCACAGTAAGGCTTTGAAGTTAGTGTCATTTCGAGACAAATATGTGTTACGTAACATGTTAAATTTAAATATAAATCAATTTTTTTAGTTCACATCTTAAGTGCTCTACTACTTTTTGGGGTATAGGCAACAGTGCACTCATCAACAAACAATTGTAACCGTCGGTACAGGAAATGTTCTATAGCTCTAAATCATCGAACTATAATTTCTGTTGGAATATTCCACTCAACTTCCTCCCTACACTTCTTCTGTTTTTATTTATTTTTTCTTCATATCGGTAAGCATTCCATAATTGAATGCATCTCTGAATAAATGAGTGAATCAGTGAATAAATAGACTCCTCTTACTAAGCAGCTTTGATTTTCTACAAAGTTTTACAATGTGTGGAATCTGTTGATAGATTTCTCAAGCATATCTGATAAAAATGGTATTTTATTTTGGTTTACTGTTTTTTTTTCACCATGGCTAAAATTAACACACTAGTAGTGCTCTTTTTTGTTTCATTTAGCTCCAACTGGGTATCACAACACTTGGAAGAAAAACAGGTTTTAATGGTTTTTCAGAAGGTTAAGAGGATGGAAGTCTGCCAGATCTCAAGGGGAAGAGAGAGAGCAGGACCACTATGGAAAATGCACACCTCCTAGATCCCAGAAGTGATACGTCAGTATGAGCTCATTATTCCTGGTATATATTGTGTCTTAACGGAAAACCACTACACAGACCACTACACTTCACATAGATTACATAAGGTGTAAGATAAATTTCAATTCCATATAATTTATGGAATAAAACCAAAAGCATTGTTTTAATACTATATACCAGTGTTGGCAAACCTTTTCGGAACCGAGTGCCGAAAATGGTGTGCACGCAGGCGGGGAAACACCAGAAACCAGAAGAGTATCTTTCTGGTACGCAGGTTCGGTAGCGCCGGTCAACAGGTATTTCATTTCTAGTGTGAATGCACACACAAACACCAGCTGGCCGGCGCACATGCACACGCTGGAACCAAGAAGAACAACGAGCGATGGCTGGCATGCCCTGAGAGATGACTCTGTGTGCCACTTCCAGCACGCATGCCATAGGTTCGCCATCACGGCTATATACTATATAAGAAAAAATACTTTGGCCTTTTCAAATACTATTCTCTGGGATTCAAATATCAGTTTTTTGATCCTGGGAAGTAAGATCCAAGTGTTTTTTGTTTTTTTTAAACTGTTTATTTCATTTTCATTTTCATTTTATACAATCACTTATATACTGTGCAT